CACGCATTCATACGCTGCTGGTAGGAAAGTAAAATGATAGAGGACTCTGAAAAAAGTCTTAACAGTTTCTTTGAAATCTAAACATGCAACTACATACCAACTGTACTACTGGGCATTCATCCCAGATAAATGAAATGTTTTGTTCACACAAAAACCTGTAGAGAATCTTTTTGTTGGTTGCTTGTACTTTAGGTGTCATATCTAAAGTGTGACCTTGTCTAATCCAAGGTCACAATGAATTTACAACCATGTTTTCTTCTAAGAGTTTTACAGTTTTATCTCTTACATATAGGTCTTTGATCTATTTCCAGTTAATTTTTGTACATGGTATGAAGTAGGGATCCAAATTCACTCTTTTGATGTAGATATCCAATCGCCCCATCACCATTTGTTGAAAAGACTATCCTTTCTCTAGTGAACTGTCTTTGCACCTTCATCAAAATCAACTGACCACAAATATATGGATTTATTTCTGGACTGTTAATTCTATTCTATTGATCTCTATATCTGTTCTTAAGCCATTATCACACTATTTAACTATTATAGCATATTATTATACTAATCATAAGCATAGTACTGCAGTAAACTTTGAAAATGGAAAAATATGAACCAACTTTGTTTTTTCTCAAGACTGCTTTAGCTATTCTGGGTCCCTTGCATTTCACTGCCAGTGAACAAGTACTTGATGCTTCCACAGGTTAAACAAATTTACATAACATTTTACATGATACTGCTAGTATACTCAAGACAAAGACAGTAGTCTCTTTTCAATACAAAGACACTTTAGAGCAATGACAAGGCCTGAACCTAAAGGAATAAAATCCAAGTAAAGTATATGTGGTGGCTTATGCACAAACACATGCATCTAACCTAGTAAAACCAGAAAACTTCCCCCTATAGTGTGAGGTATGTGTTATTATGATTGTTTGCAGCATTTTGAGAAGTGAGGGAAAAAATAACTTATTCAAAAGGCAAAAATATATAAGAAAGTCTGTGCTAAATCAAATCCATAATGTAGCCAGCCCAAGGTTCTGTCTTTAATAATGGTACAAAAAGATAGTTAAGAGATGAATTTAGAAATGGTCTTCTAAATAATCCATTACAAAAGAAACAAACATTGTGCCTGGAATATAGTAAATGTTGAATTCTTTCCATTTGAACTTTCTTTCCTAATGCAACTGGTTAAATAATTGGACTTAATTGAAATTTACAAATATGTCAATTTACTATTCAACGCTTATTTAAATCAAGCTATTCAGAAACTCAAACATACTCCTAATCTGATTTACATTTTACTGACAAATATAATACATTATGTTGTAAGAATTAAAAATATTTTACTAGCATAAGACACAGAAAATTAAGTTATTCTAATGATTAGCTATTGAATGTATTAATATTAGGGGACTATTATCAATAGAACATACACCAATTTGATTCTTGCAAAATGTTACCTCAACATTTAAAAGAACTAAAAGCAACATTTCTTGGGATATAGCTTATAATAATGTGATTCGTTACATAAATCAAGTTTTACTAGACAAAAGGATGGGTTTAGACAAAGTGATTTATAACTCACCATGGAATCCAAAAAATGAACTGGCAAGCATGGGAACTAAATTCAGTCTCCTGCTCATTACTACTATGCTTTAACTCCCTGAGTTACCCAATCACACTGAAAAAACAAGGACTTTACACTACTATGGTTTTAATGGGTGTTCATGAATTGTTCAGTGTGGTAAAAATTCATAAAATGAAGCACAATGGATGGATGGTTGCTTCTATCATAACTCAATGACTAGAAAATGACTTAAAAAATGACTTAAAAAGACTAGTTACTTTAAATAACAATGTATGGGAAAAATGGGTCACTAAAAATATCTTAAATGGAATAAAGTAGTGTTATGATGGTTACTTATCTGATATTTTAGTGATAGCTTTTAAAAAAATAAAAAGCTTAAAAAATCATATTTAAATTCTTTGCTTCTAAGGTCTTCTTCATATTGCAAATACAAATTTTACAAAGTGAAGAAAGGAGATTATGCTGTTAAATGTAAAGTTCTATTTAGGAGTCAATACTTTCAAAAACTTATCTTTCCATTTGGGTATATATCTGGATTACTAAGTTATTAAATACAGGTTTCCTTATTGCTTCCCAATAACGAAAACAATTCAAAGGTAGGTTTGAGATTAAATTCTTAATTTATAGAAGACTCCTTTCTTTTCTAAAGCAAAGAGTTTTGGTTTAAAGAGTTTAAAGGCAGCCTTGAAGAATAGGAATATCCTTACACAAATGAACAGGGGGTAAATATTAAGATTAAAATACCTAAACTAAACCTGTGTGTGATTAGTCCTTCTGTTCAAAAAAAGTATATCCTCTTAACCAGCGATTCCTAAACTATTTCTCTAGTTCATTTAAGTCTCACTGTTCTAAACTGACCTATAGCTGATAACCTTTAAACTCTTAATTTTTTAGTATGAATTGGATGGAGCTAATTAACTGAGCTATTCTTTTTTTTAAATTCCAGTATAATTAACATAGTATTAAATTAGTTTAAGGTGCACAATACAATGAATAAATTCTATACACTACTCAGTGCTCATTAAGGTATGTATACTTTCGGAGCACCTGGCTGGCTCAGTCAATAAAGCATGTGATTCTTAATCTCAGGATCATAAGTTTAAGGCCCACATTGGGCATGGGGCCTACTTAAAAAATTTTTTTAAAGATATGTATAATCTTAATTCTCTTTATTTGACCCATCCCCCAACCACCTCTCCTCTAGCAACCACCAGTTTGTTCTCTGTATTTAAGAGCTTGGTTTTTTGTTTTTCTCTTTGTTTTGTTTTATAAATTCCACATATGAGTGATATCATATGGAATTTGTCCTTTCTCTTATTTCACTTGCTTGATACATTCTGGGTTCCTCCATGTTGTTGTAGATGGCAATATCTCATTCTCTTTATGGCTGAGTAACATTCCAATATATATACACACACACCCCACATCTTCTTTATTTTTGCATCTGTTGATGGGCATTTGGGGTTTACATATCTTTCCAAATTAGCGTTTTCATTTTCTTTGAGTAAATATTTATTAGTGGAATTTCTGGATCATATGGTAATTCTATTTTTAATTTCCTGAGGAACCTCAATACTATTCTCCACAGTGGCTATACCAATTTGCATTCCCACCAACAGCACACAAGTATTCCTTTCTCTTCACATCTTTGTCAACACTTGATGTTGCTTATGTTTTTTACTTTAGCCATTCTGACAGGTGTAGAATGATATCTCATTGTGCTTTCAATTTGCATGTCCCTTGATAATTAGTGATGTTGACCATCTTTTCGTAGGTCTGTTGGCCACTTGTATGTCTTCCTTGAAAAATGTCTATTCTGGTCCTCTGCCCATTTTTAATCTATGTCTTCCTTGAAAAATGTCTATTCTGGTCCTCTGCCCATTTTTAATCAAATTCTTTGTTTCTTTGGTTTCAAACTGTATAAAACCCTCATCATACATACCATTTGCAAATATCTTCTCCCATTCAGTACACTGCCTTTTTGTTGGTGGTTTCTTTCACTGGGCAAAAGCTTTTTATTTTAGTGTAATCCCAATAGTTCAATTTTATTTCTGTTTCCCTTACTTGAAGAGACAAATCTAGAAAAATATTTCTATGTCAAAAAAATCACTGTCTAGGTTTCCTTCTATGAGTTTTATAGTTTCAAGTCTCACCATTTAGGTCTTTAATCCATTTTGAGTTTTTTATGTATTATGTAAGAAACTAGTCCAGTTTCATTCTTTTGCAATGTGGTTGTCCATTTTTTCCAGAACCACTGTATATTATTGTATATCTTTGCTGCCTCTGTTGCAGGTTAACTGATCATATATGTATGGGTTTATTTCTGGGCTCTCTGTTTTGTTCCACTGATCTATGTGTCTATTTTTTTTGTGAGTACTATACTGTTTTGATTTTACAGCATTGTAGTATATCTTTAAATATGAAATTGTGATACCACCAGCTATGTTCTGCTTTCTCAAGATTGTTTTGGCTATTTGGGGTCTTTTGTAGTTCCATACAAATTTTAGGATTATTCATTCTAGTTCTGTGAAAAATGTCACTGGAATTTTGATAGGAATTACATTACATCTGTAATTGTATCTGTATATTGCTATGGGTAGTATGGACATTATAACAATATTGGTCTTCCAATCCATGAGCATAGAATATTTTTCCTTTTTTTGTGTCATTTTTAATTTCTTTCATCAGTGTTTCATAGTTTTTGGAGTACAAGTCTTTCACTTCCTTGGTTAAGTTTATTCCTAGGTATTTTATTTATGGTGCAATTAAGCTATACTTTTAGGTTAAAAGATAACCTAGCAGGCATAAAATTTGGATATTTGAAAGGTATGGTCAGTTACTAAAGCTATTTCTTTAACCCTAAGGAGTAAAGGAAATTCATACACCATTAACATCAGTCATCAGCTATTGTTGTTTATTAAGCCCATTAAACCAGAACTCAATATGTTGATCATACATCCTACAGAAAACAAAAAATGTTAAGTTTTATATGAAAGGTGTGAGTATCTGGTTAGGATAAAAAAAAAAATCAGCTCTACAATATGGAAGGGAATTTTACATGCAATGTGTATACATTTGGTGATTGACAATCCTAATATATTTGATCTTTCAAATGGTGTCATTTCAAAAAGGAAAAAGAAAGACTTAGATCAGCAAGGCCAAGGCTTGGATTGGAGGCTGATAAATGGATACTGACATCATGAGAGGTTGGGAAAGATACCCTACATTTTTCTTGCATCTGTTCATGGGCACTGAGAGTAGTCTCTTGCTTTACTTTTAACTGAATTTCATCTGTATCATATATAGAAAAATAAGAGATGAAAATTAACACAGAAACCACAGCTGCAATCCAATACATTGATTTTTATTCAAATTCCATAATTTAAATTAAAAAAACATTCAGAAATCAGCAAATTACCTTGAATGTAACTCTGTGCTGCCATTATTATATTTGCTTCCTCTTTCCCAGACACCAAAGTCAGGTACACGGTAAACTCTTTCTACACAAAATACAAGGTTTTGAATAAAAGAAACCTAAAAGAAAAGAAAGGAAACGTAAGGACACATGCAGTAACAGGCTCTTTAGATACTGAGAAGAACAATCAGATATCATTTGATATCCAATTACACACTTGCCTACCAACACTTATTTTAACATGTTCAAATTTCTTGTGATTATTATATTACTATGAATACTGTTATACCTTTTTTTTTCTCATATAATGTCTAAAGTGAGAATCTAATATACAGTACAGAAATAGAATTTAGGGGTGCCTGGGTGGCTCAGTCAGTTGGGTGTCTAATTCTTGATTCTGGCTCAGGTCATGATCTTGGAGTTGTGGGATTGAGCCCTGCATGAGGCTCCACCCTGAACTTGGAGCCTGATTATCCCCACTTCCCCCTCAAATTAAAAAAAAAAAAAGAAAGAAAAAAAGAAAATTTAAATCCTGTCAATGCTCCAACTATAATTCTTCAGTGATATATTAGTATTCATGGAGGCTAGGTATCCTAAGAATTAAGAAAAATACAAAGCATTATTTTATACTAGGTAATACTATTTGTTTTCTAACATGTTCATGTGAAATGTTAAATAAGTCTAAAACTTTGGAGATAAAAAGTTATTTCTCAGTTCTAAAATAAGTCAGTCTATGTTGGATCAACCTGGAGTCTTGAGTCCATTAATCCTGGAATCTAGTATTCTTCTGGCCTTTTCTACAGCTGTAGATGCCCAATCTTATAAATCGAAGCTTAGGGTTGGAGATGGGCTCCAACCAACGGGCCAAGATGCACAGCTTCCTTTTAAAAATTTCAGACAACTGATGAAATTTGAACTCTCAAAAGTAATTATAGAAAGTAAAGATTATGGTCAGTTCTTATTTAATAAAGCTCATCATTTTAATTTTTTAAAAATATTTATCCATTTTTGAGAGACAGAGTGCGAGTGGGGGAGGGGCAAGGAGAGAGAGACACACAGAATTCAAAGCAGGCGCCAGGCTCTGAGCTGTCAGCAGAGCCTGACAAAGGGCTTGAACTCAAGAACTGCGAGATCATGACCTGAGCCAAAGTTGGACACCCAACCGACTGAGCTGCCCAGGCGTCCCAATAAAGCCATTCATTTTAATAAAGACAATATCTTAATTGGACTACTGGTCCTAATTAACAAGGTTTTAAATTTAGTCATCGTTGGGGCGCCTGGGTGGCTTAGTCGGTTAAACGTCCGACTTTCGCTTAGGTCATGATCTCGCGGTTCGTGGGTTCGAGCCCCGCATCGGGCTCTGTGCTGACTGCCAGCTCAGAGCCTGCAGCCTTCCCTGTCTCTCTGACCCTCCCCTGCTCACGCTGTCTCTCTCTCTCTCCTAGAAATAAATAAAACATTTTAAAAAAATAAATAAAAAAAAATAAATTTAGTCACCGTGCACTAAATTTAGTGTACACTGAATATATGCACTTGCTTATCTAACCTTCATCTCAAAATCTCTTCTGAAGTGGCAATATGCATCTTCCACACCCACCCTATACACATAATTAATATAATGTATATGCTTTTAAAAATGACACGGTAAAAACGCTAAAAACCAAGGTAAGGTTTCCACCAGTAAACCAGAAACTTTAACAAATTACAGGAAGAAGAAAGCATTAGAAACGAATTGGTTGAGAAATCAGAGCAGAGGAAAACATATCCTCTTTAAATGAGTCTTCTTTGTTCTCTAGAATCTCTGTAAAAGTTTCTAAGCCTGGAGTTAACAAGCACTTTGCTCATGAGTTAATCAGAGAGCAGCCTACCAAGATTCTCTCACAAAAGATGAATGGCTGGGACACTTAAATCCCTGACCTTTCCACTTTGCATCCCAACAGATAATTGCCCTCAGGGCCAAAACCAGCTGACATATTTCAGTGAAGAAAAAAGCAATTAGGGTGTTGGGGCTTTAGAAATAGAACAGAGCATAAGATAATTCTAGATTTCCATAAAACACACACCTATCCCAAAACCCTACCAAAGAGTGAAGCATTACATACTTACAGTAAATTTATTTTATATTTACTTTGAATCTTAGTGAGGGTCTCCTCAGCTTTCCTAATTTCTTGCTCACTTGCCTATACACCCCAAGGAAAATCTGCCTGTATAAAAATCATGGCCATTTTCACAAACCTGTTATCTTCAGCTCTTCTATGGTGTTTAGAGCTATTTAGATTTTATAATACATACAGAAAATATACATAGTCAAGTCTTCGAGTTTGAAGATTTGAAAACATCTGGTTCCTTCTTCGAAATAACAAACTTTTCAAGTGTATAATCCATATTTCTGTTTCCTCCTCCTTGTAGGAAGATGTCAGGATAGGGCTTGGCCCAAGTAAGGCAGTCTGATTAGAATGCCTAAATGGTATAATAGCTGGCTGGAAAGGCATTTTTGGTTAATAAGCCCTGTGAGGAACACTAAAATACCATTTACATACCAGTTCCACAAATAAGGAGTTTGGAAATTGCCATTCTACTCCATCCTAATGAGTAAAAAGTTTGACAGACTGAAAAATTGACAACTCTTTTCAGATCCATAAAAGAGGGGAGGACACAAGGCATATTGTCCCAAGAATGGAGAGACCCACAGGTGAATATAGGTTTCCTGGAGTAGAGACTCATGAGCAAAAGTCACCTTGGAAATCAGTGCTGGGGTAGTAAAATCTGAACTGCAATGGAACTACTAGAGGCTTAGTTAAAAACTGAGAGTTGAAATTCTGACAGTAAATGTCTTCATGAGGATCTAGTCATATGGAGTGGCCCATAATATACTGAGATTTACCTCCAAGAACTCAATCAGGTTCCCATAGAAAATATCTTAGGAAAATCCCCTTTGGCTTCCAGCAGGGGGAGGGGAAAAGAAACTGTTTTGAAATGTAGGTATTTTTGCCTTCTAAAAGTTCATTTTATGTTAATTCACTTTTACAAAAGACCTACATTAGTATCTGTTTTTACTAAATGAAAGAAATCCAAAGGGGATTTTCACTTTTACCAAAAAAAAAAGAAAGAAAGAAAGAAAGAAAGAAAGGAAGAAAGGAAGGAAGGAAGGAAGGAAGGAAGGAAGGAAGGAAGGAAGGAAGGAAGGAAGGAAGGAAGNAGAAAGAAAGGAAGAAAGGAAGGAAGGAAGGAAGGAAGGAAGGAAGGAAGGAAGGAAGGAAGGAAGGAAGGAAGGAAGAAAGAAAGAAAGAAAGAAAGAAAGAAAGAAAGAAAGAAAGAAAGAAAGAAAAAGGAAAAAAAAGTCATTACTATACTAACGCAGGTCTTTTATAAAAGCAAAGGGTACAATGCAAACTTTTAGAAAGTGGGGTATAATCTTCACTTTACACCATTAAGGCTTACAAAAGCTTCCATAGGAAGACTCTACCTTCTACCTTTGGAGCATGAGGGAAATCTCTATGTTAAAACACTATGTTTTTCATAACAAGGTCTCACCTCAATGGAAAACAGTTATCCAGAACTTGACCTACTGGACTATTAGAGCCTAACTGACCTGGGGAAGGGAAATACCAAAATACTGAAGACTAGTTCTAGTCTTCCACATGAGGAAGAGAAATGCTCCAACTCCAGCTTACTATAGCTACTCTACTAAAGGAAGAGAAAAAAAAATGAGACACAATTGTGAACTTCATAGTCTAGAGGCACAGGCTAACTAGAAGACTAGACCTAATTATAGGATTACAGAATTCTTGGCTTCCTTTTGCCTCATTTCTCACCACCACATTACTAAAGTCCTATTTACAACAGTTCCTTTTACAGTACATCATGTCAGGCTATCAAGAAAAAAAATACAGTGCAAATCAAAAGAAAAAAAACCACACATTTTGAAGAGACAAAGTAAACATCAGAACTATACATGACAAAGATGTTGTAACTGTCAGATTAAATTTAAAACAACCATGATTATGGGATATGGAATCTGCTGAATGAAGTAGTAGTAAGCAAGAACACAGGGGCAATGTAATCAGAGAGATGGAAATCTTAAGAATGAACTCCTCAAAAGTGCTAGAGATAAAAAACATTGTAATAGAAATTAAAAATGCCTTTGATGGACATATTAGAGATTCAACTGAAGAAAGAATCTCTTATCTAGAGGCTATATAAACAGAATCCTTGAAAACTGAAAAGCAAAGAGAACAAAGACTGAAACACACAAACAGAAAATTGAAGGGCTGTGAGACAACTAAAAGAGGTGTAGTACCAGGAATACAGGCATAGCAGGGGTGCCTGGGTAGCTCAAGTTGGTTAAGTGTCTGACTCTTGACTGTGGGTCATGATCTCACCGTTTGCGCATCTGAGCCCCCACATTGGGCTCCACACTGACAGTGTGGAGTCTTTTTGGCATCCTCATTCTCTCCCTCTCTCTGTCCCTCTCCTGGTCATGTGCAAGCTCTATCTCAAAATAAATAAAACTTTAAAATTTTTGAGAAAAAAGGAGTATGAGAATGAGAAGGAACAGAAGAAATATCTGAAACAATAATAACTGAGAATTTCCCCAAATTAAATACCAGACACCAAACCGCAGATACAAGAAGCTCAGAGAAAACCCAGTAGGATAAAAGCCCCAAAAAACTACACCTCAACATATCATTTTCAAATAACAAAAGGAAAATCAAAGATAAAGAAAAAAATCTAGAAAAAAGTCAGAGGAAACAAACACCTTATCTACAGCAGAACAAAGATAAGAATTACATTTAGCTTCTCAGAACCATTCAAGAGAAGAATGAAACAGTGGAAGTGCTGGAAGGAAATACAAACTATTAACCTAGAATCCTGTACCCTGAGAAATTATCCTTCAAGAGTGAAGATGAAATAAAAACTTTTCCAGGGAAACAAAAATTGAAAATATACGTTGCTGGTAGGCCTGTCCTGCAAGAAATGTAGAAAGTTCTTTTTAGAGAAAGAAAGTAATATGAAAGAAACTTAGCTCTACATAAAAAAACCAAAAGCATCAAAGAAGGAGTAAGTGAATGTGAAACAAAAATTATTATTTTTATTTTTCTTAAGGGATCTAACAGAT